GTGTGTGTGTGTGTGTGTGTGTGTGTGTGTGTGTGTGTGTGTGTGTGTGTGTAAGGGAGTTTCCAGAGCAATTAAAGAAAGTTTCAGAATCTTAGCGCACTAGGTCCTACAGTTCATGAAGGTACTTAACACATGCATTTAACTTGAAACATGAAAGTAAGCTTGCTTGAAGTTAATTGCATGTTTAAAAGCTTTATTGAGTCAGAAACTTGGAATAGCATTCAAATACAAAACACAACTAAACATTAAGACAGAATTTTGGAGTGGACATCATTGCATCTGGTGCTGAACAGAACAACTTTGGGTGTAACTGCTGAATTCCAGGACCCAGAGATGGAAAAAGAGAATGGGTTTGTGGCTGTATTTAACAGTAATTCTACTTGTCTGAAAATCAATGGCAAATCACTAGTTGAAACTTCAGAAATGTTCCATTAAACATGTCTACTGAAAGGCAGCTGTGTTGGAATGGTAAGGGAAAGGGAAGGAGAAATGAACGAGGAAAACTGAATAAGAGAGAGATGAACGCTGTACCTTTGTTCAAGCTGTTTCATAGTTGCAGTAATTTGATTGGTCTTATCCTCTAATCGACCAATTATTTCATTCTTTTCTTTCATGGCATCTTCAGAAACCTGTTTTAAAGTGAGATTAATAATATATAGGTTTTATATGAAACTAACATTTCACAGTTATACTGTGTAATCTCGTAAGAAAAATATATAAAGATGACTTTGGTGTTGGTTTGATAATCTGTTTTTTAAATATTTCCATCCAAAACATAAAGCAATAGTCAATAAAAAATTACAGATAACAAAATTTTATTAAATGTATTTGTCTTCTACTGGGTTTTACAGGTGTGTACATTATTAAATAATGTATATTGTTCAGTATGGCTTTTCTCTTTTAAATACTGTTTTCTTTTTGCCGGACTACTAAAATTCAGATCTGATAGCAACATCTACATGAACTAGCTTTAGTCCACTCAGTTCTTTATTGGTTCAATCCTGGAAAGGGCAAAATGGCATCTTCAACTCCAATCAACCCTAATTATCCAAATTGCTCTGCTTAATATAACCCTCAAACCTGCTCCTCTACTTTACATATGTACTACCCCAAGCTACCTTTTACAATTTCTTCATTGTTTTTTTTCTGTAAGAACATGCACAAGAGTGTGCAGAACTCCAGATATGATCTCATTCTCCCTTCATACATTTTCATGTTGATCACCTGTACTCTAGTTCTCCATCACCATAGTATTTTTAAGTGTTTGTCATAAAACTTATTTTATATGAATGCAGCGAACTTTAGGAAGCAGAAATATTTTCTGAAGCAGGAAGCCAAGCCGAAAAGCAGCAAGGAGTGAAGCAAAGAAGACAACAGAGCTTAAACAACTAAAAAGGGTACAATTAAAATAATGTATTTTTTATGTTTCAAATGTTATGGGAAGAAAAGTAGTATGCACTATCCCAAATTCCCTATAAACCTTCCAATTCCACTTCAGAGAATCTAATTTATTTAAGAATGTGCCTTTACCTGCAATTTTTGGTACATTTCCATGTTAATTGCTTTAACTTCATCTAGCTGTTGTCGGAGGCCTATCAGGGTATCTTGTTTCTCATGAATGTCTTTCTCCAGCAACTTCATTGCAAGTTCTATCTCATGCTTCATACTAACTTGAACCATTAGCTCATTCTCTATATCCTACAAATTGCACAAACATATATAACATATGCTGTCAACGAAGAACTGGGAAACAATTCTGCAACAATAAGAGTGAACAATATAACTGTTGAAGTGCTGGATATTTTACCATCACATATCGCTAACCTTCTCTGTAAACTTGGAAAATAAATCTTCATTAATATTCATTATGTCAACATTAAACTCAGTCACGCATTTGGCAACTTGTGCTCATTTTCACCTAAAAATACCATGTTATGCAGTACTATTAGCCTATTTTCCTGTTTTCTTATACATAGTCACATTTTCAATATTAATATTAAATAATATTAAAAAGTATTTCCGTGTTTGCCAAAAGTGGTGAATGCACATACACAGAGAAAAACGACTTACCATGCTGATAGCCAACCATTTGAAATAATCATAGCTGCAATAAACCAATACAATATTTACATAAAATCTACATTCTCCCCAAATATAATTTAGTGACACCACTTTTAAAGATATATTAACAAAATGGCCCCAAGTATTATAAAACATGAAATAAGGGTTAGATGACGTTAAAGGAAACAGCAGTGGATCAGTGGCAACATATACCCACTGGGAGAAAAAATGTAAAGCTAGAAATAATCAAAATTCATTAGTGACAGTAAGTATAGGTCTTTTCAAGACTTACTTAACACTTTCACATTATACTCACTTGTCGTAGTTGAGATTCTTCTCTAAGTTGTCTGCGTGCTTCATTGTACATTTCATCCAGCCCTTGCCTGGAATGTTTGTACGTTTGAAGCTCTGCCTCCACATCCACTTTAGTTGCCTATGAAGAAATGAAAGACATATCCTCTTTTAATTGTTAAAATTTATGGAGAAAAAAGTTACTTAAATTCACAGCAAATAGCATAAGCACGACACAAAACACTGAACAAATATGCCATTATCTGTGTTATGTGTTAATTAGCTTTGAAATAATTCAGTTACCAGTAACTGGACTTTAGAGATGTATTGTTCATATTCACATTCTCACTACAAGTGTATATACGCCTCAGGCACTTGAGCTTGGAGATTTTTTGTCCTAGAAGTAGCTATAAACTACACACGTCATGTCTCCTGACGTGCTCCCTGGTGAAGGCATAAAGGGCAATGCATGCTCCTGCTCCTCAGTTTCCTCTCAACCACACAATCCCAAGAAGAGGGGACTGAGGGCAGGATATGGATAACATGTTTCAAAGAGCTCCAGATCCTGGTAAGTATTTTTTCTTTCTTTTTTGAGTTATTGTTCCCATGCACATTCCCACTGTGGATAAGTCCAGTGCCCAGACCACTTGGGGTGGGACTCAAAGTCCTAGGCAAAGGACTGTTTATAAGAAGATACAAAATGCCATTCTGGGTCAGACCACAGGTCCATCTAGGCCAGTATCCTATATCTCACAATGGCATCATCGAAAGCTGGACCCAAGGATCTTGCAAGGTCCTTTCCAGCCCCTTACAATCTATGAATCTGTTAATCAGACTGGAAGCGAAAGGGAAGGGTATTTGCACAGGGCTTATCCAAACTGATGCGTCTCCTGCCCTCTTCCATTATAGCTTCCAGCATTCAGAGGTTTTTGAAGTCCTAATCTTTAGCCTGCATCCCTAACCCTATGCCTATATATTTTGATAGACCTATCACTCACAGATTAGTCCAATCTCCTTTTGAACTTGGTTAAATTATCAGCCTCCACAACATCCTGTGAGTTCCTCAAGTTAATTACATGTTGTCTGAAAAAGAACTGCATTTTGTTTTACCAGACAGCATCAACTCCAGAGCTTCCACAGTGGCACAGCACTTAAAAAGATATATATGGAGCCCCAGGTGGTCTCTCTGCAAATATCAGGTGTGGAACCATTCCTAGGGGTACCAGGGAAGCCATCTGGGCTATTCCTCTCTCCCTCTTCTTCCCCTCCTTCTGACATTGGCAGCCAACTACCTCCCTCCATCTCTTACTGGAGGGGAGAGGTGGCTCACAGTGCAGCCAGACCACAAGCACTGAGCCCACCACTCTAAAAGACTGAGCTTTACTGTTCTAATCTACTCTTTTATGATACAGAGGAGAAGGTCTCAGGTAAAGAAGGCCAGCTCTACCCCGAGAGTTATCTAGAATCCATGCTGTGAGGCAAAGGATGTTTATGTCCAAGTGGACCATCCTCCCTCCATTTTGGTAAGCAGGTCTAAGAGCCAAAGGAGAATCCTAGGGCTTCTCTCCAAAATCCAAAGCAAGATTGGGAGCCAGCAAAACCAGGCATGCAGAGTTCTGCCTTCTCTTGCAGCACAGCACGCAAAGAATTAACGGAATAGAAAGAAAGGTATATAAGAGTCTCCCTGACCAAGGGATGAGAAAGGCCTCAGAGAGAGAACAGAGAAGAGGTGAAAAGCTAATTTTCAAGGGCAGGGGTCAGCAACATACAGCCCACAGAATGGTGGGCTTTGCCTGTGCCAGGGCCAGGCAGCAAGGAGCTGCACTAGAGCTGGGCAGCTGGAAGCTGCACCCACACTGCTGCTTCCCCCAGTTCCCTGCTCCCTAGCTGTAGCACAAGTGCAGTTTCTATCCAGTGGGAAACTGTGCTGCAGTTGGAAGGCAGGGAAGAGGGGCCAGCAGTGATGCAGATGCAGCTTCTGACTGGCTAGAAGCTGTGCCCAAATCCCAGATGGGGAGTGCGGAAGCCAACTGAAGCAGCTCCCAGCTGTCTGGCCCTGGTGCAGGTACAGGGAAAGTCCCCCGCCACTGCTGTACTACTGACATCACCTGGCCTGTACTGGATTAGAGCTGGGTTGACAACCATTGTTCAAGGGTACTCAAAAGGGCAAGTTAAAACTAAGGTGAAGACAGAAGGTTTTTCAAAAGGCAAATACAGTTGGAATAGACCACATACACTGCAACTTGAGCCCAGGTGGTTTAGACGAACTGAGAAACAGGAAGCATGCCTGTCCATAGTACACGTCCTGCTAGGGCACGGAGTGTCCGAGCTCAAGTGCTTGAGGTACATGCACACCCACAGTGGGAGTATGCATATGCGTAAGAATTCATAAGAGAACTGAAAATTACATGAAGAAAGTTAGGACTGCAAAATCAAAAGCCCTGCATTTACACTGTAACATAATAGGGTCCTCATTTAACAGCCTACTTAAGCACATACCTAACTTGAAGCATGCAACTCGTCTCAATGACTGCACTGAGCCCTTCACATGCTTAAAGTTAGACACATGCTTAAGTAGGTTGCTGAATCAGAGTCTATGAGAGTAGTGGCACAATATACTTTATCAAGCCTGTCTAACCCTTAAATACATACACAAATTACCAAGTATCCAGTAAAGCCTATTCAGGTAGTTAATTGTTATCACAGTCTCAAGATTATTCTGAAAAACAGTTTTTTCAATAACCTGAAGTTAAGGGCTTTCAGTTTAGATAATGAAGTAACCCAAAATAAATAATCTGTTTGTCATAGTTTCATAGCTGGTAGGGTCGAAAGGGACCTGAACAGATTAAGTCCGAACCCTCCCATGGGTAGGAAAGAATGCTGGGGTCAAACGACCCCAGCTAGGTGATTATCTAGCCTCCTTTTGAAGACCCCCAGGGTAGAAGCAAGCACCATTTCCCTTGGACGTTGGTTCCAGATCCTAGCCGCCCTGACTGCGAAGTAGTGCTTCCCGATGTCTAGCCTGAACCTACTCTCAGTCAACTTGTGGCCATTATTCCTTGTTACTCCTGGTAGTGCTCGCTGGAACAGGGACTCTCCCATTGCCTGCTGGTCTCCCTTGGCAAGTTTATAGACAGCCACCAGGTCCCCTCTCAGCCTTCTATTGTGGAGACTGAACAGATTCAGGTTCCATAGCCTCTCCTCATAGGGCCTGCCCTGCCGCCCCATGATCATGCGAGTGGCCCTCCTTTGGACTCTCTCAATGCTGTCCACATCCCTCCTGAAGTGCAGCACCCAGAACTGGATGCAGTACTCCAACTGCGGCCTGACCAGTGCTGCATAGAGGGGGAGGATCACCTCCTTGGACCTGCTCACGATGCATCTGTGGATGCATGACAAGGTGCAGTTATCCTTACTGACCATGTCCTCACACTGGCGGCCCATGTTCATCTTGGAATCAATGACGACTCCAGGATCCTTTTCTGCCTCTGTGATAATGAGAAGGGAGTTCCCCAGCCTGTAGGTATGGTGCTGGTTCTTCCTCTCTAGGTGCAGTACCTTGCACTTATCGGTATTGAAACTTATCCTATTCTCATCCGCCCACCCCTGTAACTTGTTCAGATCTAGTTGTAGCCTGTCCCTCTCTTGTAGCGTGCCCATTTCTCCCCACATCTTAGTGTCATCTGCAAATCTGAACAATGTGCTTTTCACCCCCTCATCCAAGTCACTGATGAAGATGTTGAACAGTGCAGGCCCGAGGACCGAACCCTGGGGGACCCCACTGTCCACACCCCTCCAGATCGAAAATGACCCGTCCACCACCACTCTGAGTGCGACCCTCCAGCCAATTTGCGACCCATCTGACTGTGTAGGCATCAACACCACAGTCGCCTAATTTTTTAATGAGAATGGGGTGAGACACGGTGTTGAAGGCCTTCCTAAAGTCCAGGAGGACTATGTCCACCGCAACACCTGCATCCAAGGATTTTGTGACCTGGTCGTAGAAGGCAACCTGATTGGTCTGACAGGACCTGCCTCTAATGAACCCATATTGGCTGCCCCTGAGCATAATCTCCCCTGCTGGTTCCTCACAGATGTGCTCCTGGATAATTTTCTCAAAGAGCTTCCCCAGGACTGAGGTACGACTAACGGGCCTATAGTTACCCAAGTCCTCTTTTCCCCCTTTTTTGAAAATGGGGACCATATTGGCCCTTTTCCAGTCCTCTGGCACCTGACCAGAGCACCACAAGTGCTCATAAAGCCATGCCAGGGGTCCCGCAATGACCCCTGCCAATTCCCTCAGCACCCTGGGGTGGAGAGCATCTGGACCTACTGATTGAAATACATCCAGCCCCACCAGAAGTTCCCTAACTAGGTCCTCTCTGACCCTGGGCTTAGCAGTGCCTCTCCAGAATCCTAGTGGGGAGGATGTCCTGGTCCCTGCTCAGAAAAATGGAGGCAAAGAATTTGTTAAAGAGGTCAGCTTTCTCGTCTGGTAAAACCACCAGATTGCCAAGCATGTCCTGCAGGGGCCCCACGTTACCCAGTGCCTTCTTTTAACTCCCTATGTATTAAAAAAAGGGCTTCTTGTTATCTTTGACCTGGTCGCTAGTCCTAGTTCTGTCTCCGCCTTAGCCTTCCTAACAGCCCCCCTACAGTCCAAAGCAAGGGAGATATAATCCTCTTTGGTGATAGCCCCTCCCTTCCACCAGGTGCACACCTCCTTTTTAGCTTTCCAATGTTCCTGAATGCCTTTGGTGAGCCATGGGGGCTTTTGAGCACTCTTGTCAAAAAACAGAGAAATAACTATCTGACAAGGCTCTCAAAAAACTTGCTTCACACCAGACACATCTACATGTTCATTCATTAACGTTCAGTAGTTACTGAGCATTTAGTTTAGTACTTCCTTAATTAAGTACTAAACTAAATGCACAGTAATTACAGTTACTGCTTAGTAATGCTGGTGCAGTTTTTTTGTGATGGTTACTGCGCAGTAGTCTAATAACACCGTGCAGTTGCTTATTAGCACGGTTTCTGATCAGCACCCTACTACACAGTGTTATTAGGCTACTGCCCAGTAAGCGTCTTGTGTAGATGCACCCACTTCGCAGAAAGATTTAGTCCATAAAATCTAAATAAAACATCAAATACAAAATGTAAGACAAATCTTATATTGTTCATAATAGTAAAAAATGAAGTTGATTCCTACAACATTTTACATCCAAATATGTCTCCTTAGAAAAGCTCAACAAATCATGTAAGCTTACCCCCTTAATATTATTGTTTTAAAGGCAGTTCAAGTATTTGCACAGGTATAGTGCCAACATACAAACATAACAAGCCAGGCTACTCCTAATTATATACAACTCACATACCTCTAGATGATGCTGTGTTTTCATTAAAATAAGTGTATTTTCACTTCTTAGCTGATGATTTTCTTCCTGAAGTTTAATAATATTGTTTTTGGCTATTGCTAACTAAAAAGGGGTAGAAAAGAGAAAGTGCACAATCACTTTTTTGAGCACTAAAGGCAACAACCTACAGCAATAAAAAAAAGTTGGTCTAATGTCAGTATTACTAAGAAACGATACCTCTTCAATAAGTTTAGTGTTCGACTTCTCTAATGAATCCACTCTTGCATGAAGACTGCTGACTGTGCTACTGAAAGTAATAAAGAAATAATCATTTAAAATTACATCAAAACTCGTATTAACAAACACAAAAAAGTATTTATAACAAGAGTATTGGCAACCATCAACAGGTCTATTATGATTATTCTGCTGGAGAACTGTTGCTAAAAATGTCATAAATTAGCTTTCTCTGCTGAACACGTGTGTGTTCTTTCCAACTCCTGCCCCAGTTAACAGTGGTGTCACCATCCCTGTCATACCACCCGGGTGTCACCTTTGACTCTTTCCTCTCCTTCATGCTTCACAACCATTTCTGTGTACAAATGTTACCACTTTTCCAATTTTTCATAGTTTCACAGTTGGTAGGGTCGGAAGGGACCTGAGCAGATCATCAAGTCTGAACCCCTGCCACGGCAGGAAAGAATGCTGGAGTCAAACAACCCTGGCAAGGTGTCTATCTAGCCTCCTTTTGAAGACCCCAGGGTAGAAGCAAGCACCACTTCCCTTGGAAGTTGGTTCCAGATCCTAGCCACCCTGACTGCGAAGTAGTACTTCCTGATGTCTAGCCTGAACCTACTCTCAGTCAACTTGTGGCCATTATTCCTACTTACTCCTGGTGGTGCTCAGGGGAACAGGGACTCTCCCTTTCCCCTCTGGTTCCCCTTGGTAAGTTTATAGAGGGTCACCAGATCCCCTCTCAGCCTTCTCTTGAGGAGGCTGAACAGGTTCAGGTCCCACAGCCTCTCCTCATAGGGCCTGCCCTGCTGCCCCCTGACCATGCGAGTGGCCCTCCTCTGGACCCTCTCATTTTTTCTCATCCTCTTCTTCGTTACATTAATAAAACTTTGGTCCAAATACTTAGCACTTCCCCATCTTTCCTGCCAAGACTTTCTTCCTTTGCCTCCATTTTCCATTCTAAAACTCATCCAAGTTGTTGAACCATGATCTCTAATTATTCAAATGAGGGTGTTAATATTCCTAGAGATCAGCCCTGTGAAAGAATGGTGGGTGCCTAAATGTTCATTACATCGTTAGCTTATATATAAGCTTATGTCAGGACAGTTCAAAAGTTCACAAACCCTGGAACCTACTGCCCTTCTGAGCATGTGCAAGTACTAGCCAGGCCAGGGGATACTTCAGCTTGTAGCCAACAAAGTAGTAAAACCACCTCTTTCCAAATTGTTCTCTCTATATTGTATCCTTCCGAAAATCCCTCCTCTGGATCCATCTTTACAATCACATACTTTTCAACATTTTTGTTCTCATCTTCAAGGCTCTGTAGAACTCTGTCCCTTCCAACTGATCTGCTCTTGTACAAAGCCCCACACTTCCACCCAATGTCCACCATTTTGTCCAGAACGCTGGAGTCAGCCTGTGCCACCCCATTAACACCTATTTAAGGCAGGTTACACTATTATTCAGACAAAAGCAATTAATCAATCAAGCATCTATTTATGCCACCTAACCCCTCTCCTGTGCTATTAGACTAAGTAGAGTGTGTTACATCCTGCAAAGTTCTGCAGCAAAACTGGGTGCCCCTGCACTTAATGCTCCCCTGTGGCAAAGAAACTCTCCCTCTGTGGGCAGAATGACTTCACTTCTGCAGAGCAGGGCTAGGCTTCTACAGCATGTAGTATTTACTGACCGTAGGGTAAGACAATAATTCCCTGGTTGCCAAACAAGCTTGCCCTTTAAAGCTCAAACTGCCTCATAATGGGGGAGAGGACTAATGCAAAGTGAGGAAACTCACAAAGAAGGGGTGAGCAATGAAGACGACAGGGAAAAAGAGGGCAACGCTGTCACTGTAGACTGAGGACTGGGACAAGAATCAGAGAGAGGGTAAGGACTGGGAAAGGGAGGAGGAAGTAGAGGGATCGGAAGCAGTTCAGCATGATTGTAATGGGTAAAGAGATAGTGACAGGCATGTGGGTTTGGTTACTGTAACAGGACATGGATGGTGTAACAATGTGTGTGTTAGGAACTGTCAAGTGAACTGGACTTGTCATATCACAGGGCTGTTAAAGCAGACCTGTATATATATAAATATATACATCTCTACAGCTATATACTGATCGATAGATCGATAGATATCTGTAGACAGAGAGACAGACAGACGGACAGGAAGAGGGACATTTTTGTAAAACCTGCATATAGATGTAACAATACAACCCACACTGAAAGATTAAATACCCCTCTGAATAGTTTCTGCAGAACCTTAAATTGCAAAAAGTTGCAAAAACACTGTCATTCCTCATCCGTTCTCTGTTTTTTGTTCCCCAAATGAAAGGATAAGGAGTCTAGCCATCAGATAAAGGAACTGTGAGATATGAATCTTCTGCTTTTCAGTCTCCCCTAAAAATTACATCTCTTTGGCAATCGCTCCACATCCTCAGTTTATGCTGGAAAACATTTTTATTTTCTCCCCTGTGATTTCCACCTGCCTCAACAGGGTTGGGAATAAAGGGAAAAGGATTCATTTTAAACTGGAAAAAAATCTAGGCTGATATGCATACCTCATTAAATACTTACTTTAGTTGTCGATTTAGTTCCTCAACATAATTCTTTTGGTCCAAAATTGCAGAAATCTGTACATTTCTGAAGTGAGAAGGAAATGTATTTTAGCAAACATTTTCCTATGCACTTAAAATACAGGTCTCTTAAGTATGTGAAAATATTCATAATAGAAATCCTATGAAAATACAAGGAAGCAGCTTCCTTTTATTACAAAAAGCTGCAGTCTAAACTCCTTTTATATAACAACAAATACTATAGATGGGACAAAAGCTGATGCCACACAACATTGCAAATAATTATCTAAAATGTCTGAGTATAACATTAATAGCAAAAAATAAAAGTCACCCTAAAAGCCTTCATTTGCTCAACAGCAACAGTGGTTTCTTGAGATGTTGCCATTGTGCACTATAGGCCAGGGACCTACTCAAATTCTCATTTCGCAATTTTCATGGAAACCATGAAAAGCAGCAGTTTGCACCATTTGCATGGAATTGGCAGGGGGGAAAAAAATTACTAAAAATAAAATACTGGCTCCCTGATGGGAGGCAGTGGCCGCTGTAGCTCAGCCTTACAGCCTGCTGGTGGGGAGGGAGCTGCAGGCATGAAGGGGAGCAGCCAAGATGGCAGCTGCTCCCTCAATCATCGATTGGCCAAAAGGGCTACATTTTGTGTAGTCCTGCCCCTCTCCACCAATCAGCAGTGAGGGACAGAGGGGCAAATGAAAGGCAGCCCTCTTGGCTAATGAACGGCGAGAGGCAAAGCCGCTGGGCAAAATGGTGTTGGGAATTGCAAGCAGCCTGCAAATTCTCCTTCACCTCAGCACTCTTTAAGTAGATCCCTAACTATAAGTAGACTGTGTCTCACGCACAAGATCAGATTATTATTATTATACTAGTAAAATGCCTACCAAGAATGATGGGGGGGGGTGAGGTGGGGTGGTGGCAGAGGCCTGCATCCAGCCCCCCCCCCGACCTTTGGGGCAGGGTCCACTCCCCCTCTCTCCCGTGCTGCTTGGATCCGGGGCCAGGCTGCCTCTCCTCCTCTGTCTGCTGGCCCTGCCCCCTGTCCGCTCCATCACTGCTGCCTGCAGCGCGAGGAGGGCCATGGCCAGTGGTGCTCGCCTTGTCCCCCCCCGTCCTCTCCATTTTGGCACTCTGCAGGGAGCAGGGGGGACAGGGCCAGCACTGCTGGCCCTGCCCCACCTCTGTCCCCTCCATGATCACCCTCTGCAAGGTTGTGGGGCTAGGGCAACAGTGCTGGCCTTCCTGCAGGGGGGGCAGAGCCAGCGCTGCTGGCACATCCACTCCAGCACCTGTTAGGGCAGGTGGGGACAGAGGCCCAGGGTCAGGCTTGCTCCCCCCACCCTTGCCCCCACCCAGTAGGCCAGCGCAGACAGAGCCCAGTGTCTGGCCCTGTGCCCCGCTCCCCTCAAGCAGCCCCACACCCCATTCGGGCCGATCCCTGTTCCCCACCCTCCCCCTCACTGCGGAGGCCTCAATGCTGTTCTCCCCCCCTTGCGCCACCGCTTCGTCCACAGAGCAGAGGGGGAGCGCTCCCCCTATCCCCAACTCCACTGCGGGGCTGGGCCGGGCCTGGCCCCCCCACTGCCATTGCAGAGTTGGGCCCACCTCTCCCCCCACTGCTTTTTCTGGGCTGGGCTGGGCTGGTCTGGGCCGGGCCCAACATGCCCCACCATACCCTCCATTTTGGGGCCAGGCCAGGCCCAGTGTGCCCCCCACACCTTCCCCACTGC